CCCCTTGATTGGGCCCTGCTCTGTGCATGACAGGGTACGGAGCCCCAACCCCCCTGATGGGCCCTGCTCTGTGCGTGACAGGGGGGTGGCGCCGCAACCTCCCCATCGACCCTGCCTTGAGTGTGACAGGGGGCGGTGCCCCAACCCCCCAATCTGCCCTACCCTGAGCGTGACTGAGGGTGGCATCGCAACCTCCTGATCCGCCCTGCTCTGTGCATGACAGGGGGCGGTGCCCCAACTCCCCAATCAGCCCTGCTCTGAGCCCGACCAGGGGCTGCACCTAGGGATTGGGCCTGCCCTCTGCCACCCGGGAGCAGGCCTAAGCCAGCAGGTCGTTATCTCCCGAGGGGTCCCAGACTGTGAGAGGGCACAGGCCAGGCTGAGGGACCCCCCCTCCCCTCCGAGTGCACAAATTTTTGTGCACTGGGCCTCTAGTTAAACAATATTACCTATTCTTAAAAACAAAAAAACAAAATAAAAACAAATCAAATCTCTGGATCTCACTAACAATTTACATACAATACAGGGAACAAAGGAACATGTTAAATTACACCTTGAAGAATCAACCAGCAAATTCAGATTGTGGGACATTCCACAGAGCAAACAACCAGGTTTCCTCAACATATAAATTGCAAGAAAAAAATGAGAGAGATAGAAGTGGAACCTATAGAAAGCATACTGAAATCATACAGAGGAAATTGTTTTTGTCTAGAATTTGTTTCACAATATTTTGTGCTTAGGGGAAATAAATAGAGATACAGATAAAACAAGAGTCAGTAACTGTTAAAAATGGGCAACGGGTACATTGGGTTTCAATGTATTATTCTACTTTTATATGTCTAAGAATTTTCAATATTACAACGTTTTAAAAAATGAGATAGTGTATATAAAATACCTTTCACAGTGCCTGGCAAATAGCACACATTCAATAATGCCATTATCATTATCATCACCTCTTATGTTCCCTGTCTGTTCCATTGGGCAACATTTTCTCAATTCACCTAAAGTTTCTTTTGTGCCTACATGGCAATATCAAGGACTCATGTAACCCTATCCAGGAAGATCAACGGAGCTAAATAATCTTAGCTCACCATTAGAATCTGGCTTTCATTCAGGTTATGCTAAAGCTTTTATGCTGTAATTTCCTCACAACCATTATTGTTTTAGAAGGAGACTGTTATCAGAATAAAACCATACTGCCCGCACTTAAGTGGACACTTAATTTCTTATTTTTGACTTGAGAGAGACAGAGAAACATTGATTTGTGTTCCAGTTATGTATGCCTTCACTCGTTTTTCTTGTATATTCCCTGACTGGGGATCAAACTCCCAACCTTGGCATATTGGGATGATGCTCTAAACAACTGCGCTACCTGGCCAGGGCTGGCCACTTAATTTTCAATGTCCATTCTCGAATTCTTCACCTTTAATACCTAGAGTTGTACTAATAAGGTAATCCAATACTATACTGAAGGCACTAATTGGTCTTGGGATTTCCTCAAAAAAGAGAAAGAAAAGAGAAAAGAAAATCTATGCAATTGGCCCAACTGAGCTCACTTGTAAAAATTATCAAAAATAATGAAGACATTCACAAGGATGACAGGATAAGTGTACAAGAAAAAGAGAAAATTGTAATTTCATCACCATGTTTCATTCTCTAACTAGCACAACAGGGAAAAATAGAACCTACTCTTTGACTTGGCCAACCATGGAGACACGGGCAGACTCCAGATTTCTAATCTGGCCACTCTTCACACTAGAAGAGAAAAGGAAGAAGGGAGAGAGGTTATTATGCATCCACCTTATCATGTTACTAGGGTCAAATGAGTAATTCTACAGATTCTGTAGGACCTACTAAAAAGTTATGGTTACCACTGTATGGAGGTTATCACTACTTCCCACTTAGTTATTATGTCTATAAACTGAGTAGTAAAAATTAAGACATTGAAGCCATTTCAGTTCTGCAAATATTTACCAAGAGGATACTATGTGGTAGGCCCATGCTGAAGAAGCATATAATTCACTGGGGAGAAAGAAACACAAGCAGATCATTTTAACATAATAAGTCAAAGTTCAAAGGAGTCACCTTTATTTTCAATGGGAAGATTAGAGAAAGCTCCCCAAATATCCTGCCTAAACTGAGAACTGAAGATAAGTAAAAGATAAAAGAGGGTGGTCAGAGCATTATTGGCAGAGGCTACACTGTGTGAATGAAGGTACTATGATGTAAAAAAGTCAGCAGGATGACGACTTTAGAGCAGCGGTCGCCAACGGTGGGCCGCGGACCACTGGTGGTCCATGAGGTCCACAAGGTTGGCAACCGCTGGTTTAAGGAAACCTTTGGAGCAGCGGTCACCAACCAGTGGTCCGCAGACCACTGGTGGTCCATGAGGTCTGAAAGGGCAACCGCTGCTTTAGAGGACAGAATACAAGGAAAAGCAGGGGCAAGCAAAGAGCGAGTGTGACAGGGCCTTGCATGTCATGATTTAGACTAGAGCTTAGGAGCTTAGACTCTATCTTAATAGATTAGTTTTCCCAGAGTTGTTTAAGCATCTATAAGGGCCAAGGAAACACCACATGAACCAAGCAGGCCAACAGAACACATTTCTTTAAATCTCATTTTTTAGCTTTAAAAAAAATCATGTAAAATTCTAAAGTGCACCGTACTCAATGACCTTGTTTATTATTTTAGTAATAAACAGAAGCAATTAGAACTACTAATTCATTTTTCTACCACAAACTGAATCTACAGTAATACAAACCCACCAGTATTCATGATCATATAGTCTTGTTTTGATGACAGTTTAATATATCTCTGCTCCTATTCAAGGCCAACCATGGGTATTGGTTCCCATGCCCTCTTGCTTATGAGGAGCTTGTTTCCTTTAGTTACCCTATCTCTCTCCCATGTCACCATTTTTTTCCTCTAGTGGACATTATAAAACATCTCCTAGCCTTTTAAAACATTTTCAACCCACATTCACTACTAGATACTACCCCATTTCTCTATTCTCCTAAACAACAAAACTTCTCAAAAAAGTTATCTCACTTGCTTTCTCTACTATATCACCTCCCATCCTTTCCTCAATATCCCGAACTTTTTTTAAAATTAAATCTTTATTGTTCATATTATTACAGTTGTTCCTCCCCCCCCCCCCACAGCTACACTCCAACCAGGTTCCACCCCACCCTCTGCCCCTACCCCCCACCTGTCCTCATCCATAGGTGTACGATTTTTTTCCAGTCTCTTCCTGCAACTCCCACACCCCTTTTCCCCGGAGAATTGTCAGTCCACTCCCTTTCTATGCCCCTGATTCTATTATAATCACCAGTTTATTCTGTTCATCAGATTTTTTATTCACTTGATTTTTAGATTCACTTGTTGATAGATATGTATTTATTGTTCATAATTTTTATCTTTACCTTTTTCTTCTTCTTCCTCTTCTTAAAAGGATACCTTTCAGTATTTCATATAACATTGGTTTGGTGGTGATAAACTCCTTTAGCTTTTTCTTATCTGTGAAGCTCTTTATCTGACCTTCAATTTTGAATGATAGCTTTGTTGGGTAAAGTAATCTTGGTTGTAGGTTCTTGGTATTCATCACTTTGAATATTTCTTGCCACTCCCTTCTGGCCTGCACAGTTTCTATTGAGAAATCAGCTGACAGTCATATGGGTACTCCCTTGTAGGTAACTAACTGTTTTTCTCTTGCTGCTTTTAAGATTCTCTCTTTGTCTTTTGCCCTTGGCATTTTAATTATGATGTGTCTTGGTGTGGTCCTCTTTGGATTCCTTTCGTTTGGGGTTCTGTGCTTCCTGGACTTGTAAGTCTATTTCTTTCACCAGGTAGGGGAAGTTTTCTGTCATTATTCCTTCAAATAGGTTTTCAATATCTTGCTCTCTCACTTCTTCTGGCACCCCCATAATTCGGATGTTGGTACGTTTGAAGTTGTCCCAGAGGCTCCTTACACTATCTTCATATTTTTGGATTCTTTTTTCTTTTTGTTTTTCTGGTTGGGTGTTTTTTGCTTCTTCGTATTTCAAATCTTTGACTTGATTCTTGGGATCCTCTAGTCTGCTGTTGGATCTCTGTATAATATTCTTTATTTCAGTCAGTGTATGCTTAATTTCTAGTTGGTCCTTTTTCATATCCTCGAGGGTCTCACTAGATTTATGGAGGGTCTCACTAAATTTATCGGCAGTTTCTAGAAAATTCTTGAAAAACCGTGTAACTGTGGTTTTGAACTCTATTTCCAGTAGTTTGCTTTCCTCCAATTCTGTCATTTGTGACCTGTTTTTTTGTCTCCTCATTTTGGCTGCTTCCCTGTGCTGATAGAGTGGCTTTGTGTGCTAGGTGTCCTATAGGGCCCAGTGGCTCAGCCTCCCCAATTACCTGAGGTGGACACTCTTGGTGCACCCCTTTGTGGGATTTGTGCACGGTCTTGTTGTAGTTTAGCCTTGATTGTTGTAGGTATCACTGGGAGGAATTGACCTCCAGGCCAATTGGCTGTGAGAATTCGCTGTGTCTACGGTGGTAGAACTTCTGTGCTGGAGACACCCTTCTGGGGCAAGACTTGCTTCAGTGGGGCTTTGGTGCTCATTGAGTCTGCCCCCTGAGTGTGTCCCTTATGGATCTGAGGAGTTGTAATCTGGATGGTCCCACTCTGACCGATGGGTACACTGGCTCTTGGATCTCTAAGGAGGTGCCAATTTAGCCTCTGCCTGAGGCTACCCAGCAGGAGCTATGGAGAGATCTGCAGATTCCTCTTCTTTGTTTGGGATTTGGAGGTGCCCAGATGAGGCCCAGCTGTGAAGCAATGCAAGCTGCTGTGGGGCCTTGGGCCTTGTTTTGGATGTTCTGGGTCTCTTTGACCCAGCTGCAGTTTGTTAGGTAATTTTAGATTGCAAAGGGCCAGGCCATTCATATGCAAAAGCCTCTGCGCACAGCTTGGTTGGGGCGGGGTCTCAGGGAATCAACAGGGCGAACCAAACAGCTATGGCTGATCCTCAGTCCTGCCCTAAGAGGTCCCGGGTCTCAGTGTCCCGTGGTAATCGCTGCAAGCACCTCTGAGAGAAAGCCGCCCTCGAGTTCCGCCTGCTGCCAGTCCAGTTTCTCCCTGTATGAGTCTGGGTCCCCAGAGACTCACCCAGAACTGGAATTCAGAGCAGTCGGGAACTTGAGACTCCCTCCCAATTGAAAAAGACAACCACGTCCTCAGTTGCTAGCCCTTTCTGCATCCGCCTCTGAGTCTCAGTGTGCTTTTCTCTTTCTTTCTAGTTGTAGAATTTCCACTCAGCCAGCCTTCCTGTGGTTCTGGATGATGTCCGTTTTGTCTTTTAGTTGTATTTTGAAGTGGTTGTGTGAGGCAGCAATTTCCGGTGTTTACCTATGCTGCCATCTTGGTTTCTCCCCCAAACTTATAAGAGGTTTTTATCTCCCCCTCATGTCCTGAGATTTTTTTTTTTTTTGCATGTCAATTTTAATGATCATTTCTTAGCTCTCATTTTGGGTGATCTCTCAGGATTATTTGACACAAATGCTCTCTCCCTCCTTCTAGAAACATTTACTAGACTCCCCCAGTTCTCCTTTTATCTCACCAACTGTGCCTTTGCAGTTTCCTTTGTTCAATCTTCCCCCACTTTCCAAACTCTAAATATTGGCTAGTACACCAAGGATCAGTTCTTGGATCTTTTTTCTATCAACATCAAATCCCTAGGTGATTACATTCAATCTTTTGGTTTTGAATACTATCAATACCAGGAGTGGGGAACCTTTTTTCGGCCAAGAGCCAATTGGATATCTATATATATAAAAGCCTAAGCGACCATTATGACTGGTTGACCAGTCGCTATGATGCGCACTGACCACCAGGGGGCAGACACTCAATGCAGGAGCTGCCCCCTGGTGGTCAGTGCACTCCCACAGCAGGAGCGCTGCTCAGCTGACCAGCATGAGCGGGGCCGGGATGAGCGGGAGTGGCTCCTCCCCAGATCCCCGCAGGCCATGCCAAGGGACCCCACTGGTGCACAAATTCGTGCACCGGGCCTCTAGTAAGTTATAAACTCAATTCAGATATCCAGCAGAGTATAAAACAAAATTAGCAAATATTTCATAGTACTCTCTGATTCTCAGACTCAGAAAGTGGGATCTATAAATCAGTGGCTTTCATAGAACCCAGAACATTTTCACATTGAATATACAAAAATCTTATCCTATCCAATTTCTGCCACTAGAATCAAGACTCTATCTCAAGCATGTCAAACTCGCGGCCCGCAGGCCACATATGGCCCACAACAAATATTTTTGTGGCCCAGACAAAATAACAGTATGTAAGAAACGTTTTAATAAAAATTTTGTAACTTAATTTTTACAATATCCTGTTTACATAATTATTATTAACGAACTACAACGTTCGCTAATGACTGATTACTATAATTGTGTTGCATTCATTTCCCTTACACGCCTTAGGCGCAACATTTTTCTCCACTAATACTAGCAGTGAGTATTTTAGCAGCCGACTGCCACGTCATTAGTCTTGTACTGACTTGTTTGGTGTGCACAACAGGAAATATTTTGCTTTTGGAGAACAAGAAAAATAGGTTTATTTGCATTATGCTTATTAATTTGTGTAGTTATTCAGTGTCTGGTAAGTTCATGTTCAAGAAAAAATATTAATTTTTATTAAAATGTTCTATTATTTTATGTCAATGATTGCTCATTTATTTCAGCCCTTTGTATTCAGCATGTCTCTCTCGAAATAAACCTATGTTTCTATGAAAATTGAAGCTTTTGTTTTTTTGCGGCCCACATAAACTTAAACCTTGTTTATCTGGCCCGTGTTAGCCTTTGAGTTTGACATGCTTACTCTGTCTCCTTTAGGAGGTCTGCCATGATCCCCACGCTGAATTGGATACCTATCTTCTGTACCTCCTGTGATCCTTCATTGTATTGTTTATGTATTTACTTACTGATGTTGGTATCCCCAACAAGTAAATACATAAGAACTGAGTTTACCGGTAATTATCAGGTACTTAAAAAACATTTACTGAATAAATTTAAAGTTATTTGGAATAATTTTCTCACTGGTTGCTACTATGGGAAGCAGGCAGTGTACTCAAGCTACATGTTGAGCTGGCAGCAGCTGCATTCTCAATGCTGTGACTGCTCAAGATGGAGAGATCTTTGATGCTTCTGAGAGAGCGGTAGCATGAACACAAAAGGTAAAAGTGCCTTCACTAAACACACACATCATTCTGGCAAGCCATATTTGGCATGAGACCCTCTGTCCTAGGTAAAATCCCTTAAGATATACTTACCAGGACCTTAATTTCCATTTGACATCTCTGATTCAGTTAATAGATATGTTCTGCCTGTTAGAGCAGCCAGCAATATGCTACATGCTATATGAAAGTACAAAAGAAATAGAGAATAGCCGCTGTCCTTATGATGCAGGAAGGGCATTAAGGCAGAAATGAAAATGAACAATATAAGCATATCCCTTGCGAGAGGACTAGAAGCCTTAAGGGGTAAACAGTACAAAATAATTCAGATTTAAAGGTGTCAAGCAATTTTACTGAGGCAGTGATCTATGTGGTTTGGAGGAGTTAGAGAAAGGGTTCGGAAAGGGTACTGGATATGAATTTTGAATAGGTAGGAAGATGGGATATTGAAGATGTTTTATCTGAAGACTAATCTCTTTGGGGGAGCAGTGATTTACTTATCTCTGAATCTTCACCGTTTAGCATAAAGTGTTTAATAAATATTTAATCAAATAATTGAAGTAATAAATTAATGACTGAATAGCCTTTACTTAAGTGAAAGTCATAGACAATTCTGTCAGTGATTTTTATGAAAACCATTTACCCAAAGGGTTTTTACTTATCCAAATAAACTAAGAAAGGAATCCACACCTATCTTTTGTTTCTCCATCATTTTCTCTGGAACACAGAAAGTGATTCTATAACCTTGGAGTACCCTTTTATGTAATGATGTTTACTTTGAATTTATATTAGTTCACACAAACACTCCATCCATGCTTTTGTTCCGGCCCTCCGGTCCAGTTTAAGAACCCATTGTGGCCCTCGAGTCAAAAAGTTTGCCCACCCCTGTCTTAGAGTCTCAATTAGTCCAAACTCTCACCTTAGAAATGGGAACAGCTAGACAGCAGGTGATGCATAATTACTAAGATGTAGGAGATACTATAGTATATTAGAAAAAGGGTAGATTTTATGCAACTGAAACAAGTCTGAAGCATTTAAAACATTTTTTAAAATTCTGCTCTTTACATGTTTTTACCCATGATATTACAATAAAGCTAAGACATGGAATTATTCCTTTAAACTTTGGTACTTTAGTTGATGAAAAAGGAAAGCTCCAGCCTAACATTTAAAATACACACAACAGCCCTAACCAGTTTGGCTTAGTGGATAGAGCATCGGCCTGCGGACTGAAGGGTCCCAGGTTCGATTCCGGTCAAGGGCATGTACCTTGGTTGCGAGCACATCCCCAGTAGGGGGTATGCATGAGGCAGCTGATCAATGTTTCTCTCTCATTGATGTTTCTAACACTCTAACGCTCTCCCTTCCTCTCTGTAAAAAATCAATAAAATATATTTTTTTAAAAATTAAAAAATAAAATAAAATACACACAATATAGATTTATGGATTACCTCCATTCAATGGCATTCTCCAGAGACTTGAAGGTTTTAGGACGACCACGTAAGAAATTCTGCATGCTATTAAGAGCATCCATGGCTGTACCTAGATGTTAAACAAAAATTTTAACCATAGCACTTAACATTTCCAAGCATTTACACTTACTGGGGAAATACACATATCTGCCTTCAAAGACAGCAGAATTCAGTGATGCTTGGGGAAAAAAAGATGCAGTTTAAGAAAATTCAGAAGATTGATGGGATAGCCAGGTTCCAAGATGGCCTCCAGTGATTTCTGCTTCCTGGTATTCACTCCTTCCTGTAGTATCCCGACAATGAAAAGGGCTGACTTGTATATGTAATAGTGTGACTTCTGAGACTGGGTCATAGAAGACACGGCAGTTTCTTTTTAAATGTTAAATAAAATTATGAGATATACATACAATTAAAATATTATGCAGCCATAAAAGATGTTTATGAAGAGTTTCTTATGTCATGGAGAATGATTAGGTAATGTGGGGTGTTGGTGACATGAATGTAGGTGTAAAAAAAAGTTCCAGTCACAAAATAAGTAAGTCCTGGGGATACAATGTATAGCATGACTACCTACACTAATAAAAGAGAAAGATGCAAATTGACCATACCTTTGTGACGCTCACCAGCCAATCAGGAGTATGCAAATTAACCCAATAAAGATGGCGAGTTAATTTGCATACACAGGCACTGAGTGGCCGGGGACGGGATGCTTGCGTCGTCGCCATGGCAACGACGCAGGTGTTCTGCACTGCCCCAGCCCCTCAGGGCAGCATGGGAAGGCAGAAAGGTGGCTCCGGCCAGAGCGAAGGCGGTGCCGGCAGCCAGGGGAAGGAAGGCCCATTCTTGCACGAATCTTTGTGCATCGGGCCTTTAGTAGTTAATAATACTGTATTATATATTTGAAAGTTGCAAAGAGAATAAATCTTAAAGTTCTCATAACAAGAAAAAAATTGTAACTGTGTGGTGATGAATACTAATTAGACATATTATGGTGATCATTGTGCAATATATACAGAGTGGGGCAAAAAGATTTATAGTCATGAGGATGCGAAACACAGAGTTTATTCTTGTAATATTATTTATTATTATATTATTTTCCATATGAACTGTAAACCTACTTTTGTTCCACCCTGTACATATAACAAATCATTATATTGTACAACTGAAACTAATACAAAGTTATATGTCCATTATATCCCAATTTAAAAAACACTTGGAATGCCTTTGCCACAAAATAACATAAGAGATATAAAAGACAAAGGGACATAATTCAAGATGAGTGAAATCAATAATAAGTTAAAACATGGTAATAATCTACCAGGATGGGCTCTTATACTCAAAGATTTTGAATGAGTTAGCACAAGAAAACTTACCTTCCACAACATCAATCACGCATAGACCCAGGAGGCTTGGCACCAGGTTGGATGATGCTGTGTGGACTGCAATAGCTCCACCCATGCTATGTCCAATCAGCATAATTGGAGGAGGGAGGTCCCCATACATGGCTTCAATTACATTGCCAACATCTCTGCAAAAAGAAGGAAAGAGCTGGGAATGCTCTCTGACAACACAAAAATAGTTTTCTTTCTTAACTCCTTCCTTTGGTCTGTAACTAACAGGCCTAGGCCTGTAAAGGTCTATTGAGTCATCTCGCAAACGTAACTATGCAAAATTCCTAACATGTCCTCAGTATTTGTACACATAGCCATATACCTGGCTCTTATGACAAATGACAGTTTAAGGACTAAGAACCCAAATATTTTTACTTTCCTTTATATAATACTTTCACTGTTCCACACAGTTAGTACTATTACATAATCACACATCTTTAGTTTAAACCTAAGCTTGAAACTCTGCACAAATCATTTAACTACTCTATGCTTTAGTTTCCCCATCTATAAAACAAAAAAACAACTTTATTAAGCATTACAATGTAGTGAAGTTTGGAGTCACAAGAATTACAGCCCAAGTCTATTTTTTACTATATGGACTTGGATTAGTTATTTAACCTTTCAGAGTTTCTATAACTGAAGATAAGGATATCATTTACTATTCTGAATTGCTGTGAGAATTAACTGAGTGAATGTAAAAATACTTTGAAAAAAGTAAAGTACTATATAAATGTTAATTATTATTTGTCATGTAAAGTTGTTTGAAGTATGAACATAAATGTAAGTATAGTGTACTGAAAAACTTGAAAGGTGTTTATATTTTTATTGGCTTCTGTCCTAGCCTTTAATTATGAGTAGGTCTGTTTAACAAAGTCAAACCTTACAGCTTTGAAAATGAGAACTAAAGTAGGAATTTTGGCTTTTATTTGGGACAGGCCTTCTTTGTTATAGCAATAGTTTAAGTATGGTATATTTCTAGGAACCACTGGCTCTACTGTCTTCTTTTGGGAGTGGCTGAGTCAATCAAGTTCAAAAGACAGTTTTGCCTTGCTTAGTCTCCACAGTATTCAGAATACCAAAGGTAAATGTCATTATTTCTAAAGGAAGTAATCTTAAAAACTTCATACAACAATACAAATGTCAATATGGTAGCTGCAGCATCTGCAGATAATCTGAATGGGAGATAAGGAGGCCACCCAATTTTACAATTGAAAATAATGGAGTTAAATTTAAGGCTAAAATTTTGAGTTAGTAACAGATATAATTAAATAAATAAAAGATATAATAAATAAAATATATAATTAGTAAAATAAAAGGATGCTATAGAATTTGAATTCAGGTCTCCTTAAAATACTAAGTTGAAGGGTTCTATGATAGCTGCTTCATGCATGAAGGTGGACAGGGTCTGAAACAAACCAACTTAATATTGTATCTAAGCTTAGGAAAGGAATATTTCATACAGATAAAAGTTGGTTATGATCAATCCCTTGATCATCTACCACCAGGAGAAATGTATCCTTATTAAAGTTAGGCAAAGTATTCAGTCACCAAGATTAGAGCCTTGAGACATGTCCTGAAATTTCAGAGAAATAAAATAAAAATGAAGTAAAGATTAACTACAAATCTAGTCTATAACTGGATGTACCATAATTTTGGTAGTTGCTCTCTAAGGAGATTCTATCATACTTATTAATACTAGGTTCATTTCCTGAGAAACAGCATAGCATATCACAGACATAACAGAAAAAGAATATCACAGTGACCTGAGCTCAAATCTCGGCTCTTCTACTTTTAGTGGAGTTGCATCTTATGTAGGGTATAGGTTCTAAAGTTGATACGTAAGGGGAAAATCATGCTGTCAGTACTACTTGAAAACCCCACTAATCACCCATTAAGTATACACCCATTTTGGGATTTTTGTTTCACAGAATTATTGAATTCAGAAATCATATAAATGTTTTACTGTTTAGTCTATTTCAGCAAGAATCCAACTTATTGGCCATAACCAGTTCTACATGATTTTAATAATTTATTTTCTCTTTAACTTTATTGTGCCAGTTATCAACTTATTATCTCTCAGCCCCAATTCACCTTTCATTGCATGTTCTGCACAATTGGACCTGAGGCCTTAAAATGTTTTTCCCTTGCCAGCTGACAAGACATTAAGCCGTGTCAGTAGATGACATAGGAGAGACATTGCAGAAAGAAAGGTTTTGTTCCTGATTCATGGGTGTTTTCTTCACAAACTCCTATAACTTGCACTTCCCCGGCACCCAGGTCCTGCAGCACAGGAAACCCCCAGCTCCTGCACCACAAACAGTTTCCCCAGTGCCCAACTTCTCCAGCACTCCAACCCCCATTCCCAATGTTTTTCTTTCCAAGCTTTATTGAGGTATAATTGGTATACAAAGAAGTGGTACATAATTAATATACACAATTTGGTAAGGCTGTATATCTGTATATATATATATTTGTGTTAACATCACCCAAAAATTACCTTGATCATATCCATCACCTCCAAAAGTTTCCTTGCATCACTTTAAAAAAATATATTTATTTATTAAATTGATTGGGGTGACATTGGTCAACATGAACATACATGTTACAAGATCTGTATTTGCACCATATGCCCACTACCCAAAGTCAAATCTTCTCCTGTCACCTTATATTAGGACCCTCCTTGCATCACTTTTGTGTGTGTGTTAAGAACACTTAACATAAGATCAACTCTCTTAAACTTTTTATAAAATGTTTTTATTGATTTTAGAAAGAGGAAAAGAGAGAAACATTGGTGAGGAACACTGATCAGCTGCCTCCTGCATGCCCTCTAGTGGGGAATGAGCCCACAACCTGAGCATGTGCCCTGACCCGAAATAGAAACAGAGACCTCTTGGTACATGGACCGAAGCTCAACCAATTGAGCCACGCCAGCCAGGGTACCCTCTTAATCTTTTAAGTACATAATATCTTACTGATAACTCCTCTCCCTCTCCTCTCCCTTCTCTCTCTCTCTCTCTCTCTCTCTCTCTCTGTCTCTGTCTCTGTCTCTCTGCCAAACACTATAGTTGAATGATCACAATTGGTCTATTAACTGTGTGATCTCATATAGTTATTCAACCTATCTGAAACTAGTTTCTTCACTGGTAAAAAAGTGATAATAATCTACATTACAGAGGTTAATAATGTAGACACATTTAAATAACTTTAAATAAATTGTTTATTCTTAATAATGCTTATTTTACACTTA